GGCTACTCTCAAAAATCTGGAATTAGATATCAAAAAAGAAAATGTAAATAGTGAGGTTTAGGTGCGCCTAAATAGCATTCGTCTTTATCTTCAACTTGTAAAAAACAACTATACAAAAATAGAGGCAAGTAATATTGTTACTGATGTAGTAGAAAAGGGAATATATCATGCTAGATGTGTTCGTTCTTAGGCACATGATTATATAACAACTCACCAAATTCCTTATTCCTGTCAAGGACATTATGCTAAAATATGAAGTTTCCTCTGGGATGAGAATATACTCCTTTAAGTAAAATTATATGTTCGAGAGCATAAGTGGGATATTACTTCACATATACTAATGGTATATATGAACAAAGTTATTTTACCAGGGCTTAGATTTGTACTATCTCCGACTATACATATCAATACAGCAAGAAACTATTTAAAAGAATTAGGATATACATACGCTAAGGTGAAAAAAGAAATGTATATAGACGGATATGAGAGGGAAGATGTAATATTCTATAGAAAAATATTTTTAGAACGAATGAGTAAACTTGAAGATAGGATGCCTATTTTTTCAGGAGATAATTTGGAAAAGATAACTTAGCCAGACAATAACGCATAATCACTTATTCTTGTCACACATGATGAGTGCATTTTTTCAGCTTATGATAGAAGTCGAAGTCTTTGGACTCTTAATGGAAAATAGCCTTTAAGAAAAAAAGGTAATAGTCATTCAATTTTTGTTAGTGATTTTCTAACCGAAGTTTGTGGCTGCCTTGCTCTTTCTGATGAAATGCAGTCACTAGATGGTTTTTCCAGAGAAGCCTGTGTCATTATGCATTCAGGAAAAAATAGTGATAGATGATGAAAGGCTGAAGACTTAGTAAAACAGGTAGTTGAATGTGCTATACCTATATTTAAAGCACATTTTTCAGGATGCCAAAGCCTTGTTTGCTTTTGATAATGCATCAAGTCATGCTGCTTTTTCACCAGATGTACTTATTGCAAAACGTATAAACCTCAGTCCTAGTGGAAAACAGCTAAAGATGCATAGCACATATTTTGGTGATGGGATTCAACAGGACATGATTTTTCCATTAGATTATTATATTCCTAAGTTACATGAACAGCCAAAAGACTAAAACAAGTTTTAATAGAAAGGGGATTGTGGCTAAACGAAGGGTTAAAATTAGAAGAAGCACGAGAAGTAATGAGTCAGCAACCAGACTTTTTAGTACAAAAAAAACAATTAGAAGAGACTATTATTGCAGTTAGACATTAAGTTATATTTTATCCCAAGTTTCATTGTGAGCTTAACTACATTGAGAACTTTTGGAATGCAGCAAAAAAATTTAGTCAGCTGAATTGTGATTACTTGTGAACAGGATTACAAAAAATGGTTCCATTGGCCCTTGCTTCTGTCTCACTTACAACTATCTGCCAGTATGCAAGAAAAGCGTTTCGTTATATAGATGTGTATCGAAAAGACTTAACAAGACAGATAGCAGAATTTGCAGTTAAAAAGTATCATTCGCATTGTCAGATTCTTGATTCAGTTGATATCTAACAAATTAGGTTCTTTTGCATAGATTTATTTACACTAGTTAAAGGCAATAGAAAAGGGAAAAATTAGTGAATGCTTAATAAAATAATGTATATTTTGAAACAATAAAGGCTTATGTTATAGTTTTGAAAAGAACATTTGCTATATGCAACGTTTGAATTGTTCACCTTTACTAATGTAGAAACGATTTTGTTTTATTCTCCGTTTATTACACAACATGATCAAATATGGCCAGTGTTACGAAATGTAGTAAATTAGCCAATAAACGACGAGAATTATGATCACGTATATCATGTATAGAGTGGACAAAATATCTGATTTATTAGTAAAATGCCTCAACTTTAAATTGCTACTACTTCGCTAAAAATCATTTTATAAAAAATCTAACACTATAGTTTTGTTAAGCTTAAACTACTCTATCATTCTATAGTTACATTTTGTATTTATCATTTTTTTTGAGTGAGGATTAGCAATTTGAATTTTGTTAAATTTATTTGTTAGGACTAAGTTGTATGCACTGTAGTAAGTTTAAAATATAATAAGATATGATGTAGTTTAATAAATAACAAATAATCTGTATACTAATATTAACCAACTCTAAACTAAATGCAACTTCACATAAGTTTATATATATTATATAAGCTATATTCATATATTTTATATTTACTAAAAAATTTTCTTTTAAAAATTATACTAATTTATAAAGATGACTAATATAATATTTAAAATAAATTTTTATCAAAAAGTTAACTTTTTACTTAATAAAATTATTAGTTTTAAATTTTTATAGTAATGTTAATCTTTAATAATTGATTTTGATATCATTTAATTTAATTATATAAAATTAATATTATTAAATAATATTATAATTTTATAAATAACTTTTTTTTTTATTATTTATAATAGTAGAAAAGCAGATATTTAAATTTACAGAAACTTTACAAATTAAAAGTTTTTACAATATAAATAATAATTATAATAACTTTTATCATGAATGTTAAAGTTATTATAATAAATAAATGAATGATTCCTTTAATGATTCAATGAAAAATATATAAACTTGAAATATTTAAAAGAATTTATTAAAATTTTTTGTTTTTTGTTTTTTTTTTTTTTTTTAATGAAAAGTTTATTTGACATATAAATCAAATATCAAATATATATTTTTTTTGTAATTATAAAAATTTTTACTAAAATTGCAAGAAAAAAATAAAATATACACCAACCCATTCTTAAACTTCTCAATATAAATTACAGAAAAAGCTTGTAAAAGTTAAAGAAAATAGGTAAAAAAAAACAAAGATATATATATTTATATATAAAATAAAAAGGGATGTTCAGATTATTAACCAATTCCCATGATTGTTATGACCTTGAAGAATCAATATTTTCCTATGCTAGTTCAACTACAGTACTATCATTCGGTTGTTGTCGTGTATCTGTTGGCCTTACACTTGTTGACCTCTTCCCAAACAATCTACCAAATACTTTACCCATTCTAACAAAAACATTATTGACATCGCTTTCATTATTGCTATCTTCTTGACTTGTTAAACCATCAATAATAATTTCATCATTTTGATTTGGTCTACAATCTTTTTTGCATAAAGGACACGAACTACTTTTTGTTGTTAACCAAGGATCAATACATTCTATATGATACCAATGTTTACAAGGTAATTCTCTTATTTCTTCTCCATTTTCAAAATCCTCCAAACATATTGCACAAGTATCTGTATCATCATCAGTTGAAGCACTCGTTACTGTTGGAGAAGTTTGATTAGCTGGGATGGTTGTGATATCTGTGTTAGTTTGATGAGTTGGGGTGGTTGGGGTAATTTGATTAGTTGCGGCAGTTGTGGCCGCTGGAGTAGTTGGAGTAGTTGGAGTAGTAGAAGTAGTAGAAGTAGTTGGGGTAGTTGGAGTAGTAGAAGTAGTTGGGGTAGTTGGAGTAGTTGGATTAGTCAGGGTAGTTGGAGTAGTTGGATTAGTCGGGGTAACTGGGGTGGTTGGAATTGATGTTGATTTGTATAAATTCGTCGCATTAATGACCGCGCGAAGTGACCTTGTTGACTTTGTTGAACGTGTTGATCGAGTGGAAATTGTACGGTGAAGTTGTCCTGTTGATGGTATTGAAATTGAATGACGAAGTTGTCGATTCGTCGTCAAATTAGGTTCATCATTCTCATTCTTTGTTATCGAATCGCTATCCTCTTTCTCATTAGTTGATGGTAGTGCAACCATATCAGAAGAAATCTTTTGCTCCTCTGAAGTTGAACCAGATTTTTTATCATAAATGATGATAGGAAAGGTGTCGATGATATCTTTTTCCAAAGTCCATTTTTTCATCCCTAAAACTTCATCAGCAGCTCGTTGCCTTCTGATTTCAAGCTGTTGATTCCTTCTTAAACGATATAATCTCATGTGAATTAAAATGGAAACAAAGAATGATGCAACTAAAATACCACCAACAGCAAACATGGCAAATAGCCAAGAATTGACAACAAATTGACGATAAGGTTTTAAGGTTACAATTAATACCTTATATAATGATGATGAATCATTGGGTTTTGCCTGATATAACCTCTCTAATTCCGTTTTAAAACTGTCACCTGATGATTTATTGATGGTAAATATAGGAATATCATAACCTTTAGAGTTTAACGCTAATAAAAGTTCTTCATCCGAATTACTTTCTACACGAACGATTATCGCTTTATCACCATCGCTCTTTGACATGGTGATTTTTTGATCTAACGTACAATTTGATACATCAGAAGATATTAAACTAATTTTATAAGGTGTGAAGACGTTGGGTAATGGAATTGATGGAACAATCCCCGTAGGTGGTGAATCGGCCGTATTAAATTTAATACTTTGACAACCATCTCCACGATCATATAATACACCCCTTATACCTTGATTTGTATTATTATGAAGTATACCTTCAACTACTTGTTGCACATCTCCTTTGCCAGAAGCTTCAAAAGAACCAAATTGTTCAGTACTACCTTCTGATATAGGAAATCCATCTTCTAATGACCTGGTCGGAGGTTTATCTGGCGCGACGGTTAAATATTCACTTATTATTGTTGGACCCGAGCCTGTTGGTCTAATTGCCTGATGTGTCGTAGCAAAGTATAATACACTAATCAACGCTACTAAAAATATTAAGGTACCATAACGGACCATTGAATTTGTTTGTATCAATTCTGTTAATGTACTAAATACATTTCTTTGCCTTCGAGGATAATGATTTGTGGTAGTTGCGGTATGGTCTGCCGCCAAAGGGCTGTTCGCTCTTTGAATATGTTGAGGTCGAGAAGGTTCAACCTCTGGCCTTGGTACTGATAACGTGAAGGGCATTATTTAATTGTTAAAATGATTATGAAAAAAAAAAGGTGCTACTCTCAAATGACCATAACTCGGTTATAATATTAAAAGAAAGAAAACGTCCTGTTTCGTAAAGGTTTTTTTTTATTTAGAAATATATATCAAAGGGAGATTTTTAAGTTCTATGGAAAATTCTTTTTTTTTTGAATATAAAAACTTGAGAATCGTGTAATAAATAAATAAAATTTGTACATGTAAATATAAATATAAATTTGGGCTCCGAAACATTTTTACCATATAAAGCCATGTCTTTATTGTCTTTATTAACCTGATCTATTTATAATGAATTAATGGGTTAATGGGCCAGCATTTTGAAATTTGACCCACTTTATTTACCCCTTAATTAAAAAAAAAAAAAATTATTTTAATTGAAACAACCCATCGGAATTATTACCAAATTAAAAAGGAAATCAACTTATTTTTAAATTGTATAAATTGTATAGCAACCTTCCAAAAGGAAGTGTAAATTTTGTAATACAATAGTAATTTTTGGGAATTTTTCTTTTAATGGCGTAAAATCAATCACATGAATAAATGCGCCTTATTACTCGCCGAGTGACCGATTATCAAAAATTTTTATCCTCGATAAAAAAATTATTGATAATAATGACAAATGTACCAGGACCACAAAGACCAAAAATCGATGGAGGTTTCAAAGAAGGTGACCTACTTAAAGAGATGAATAAAGTGCCTTTATTCATGACTGAAATGCCGGAAGAGGAGAGCGATACTTTAGCTGCTTTACAAACTCTCATATATGATGGTCCTCCTGAAGGTACATGATTTCATCAAAACTTTTGCTTGCTAAAAGGAAAAGATAATTTACCTTTTAACCTTTGTCTTATGAATGTGATAGAGATAGCAGAAAATTTTAAGAATCAAGGAAATGAATGCTTTAAAGTTGGTAAATCACAATATAATGATGCTTTAGAATATTACACAAAGGCGTTAGACATAAAATGTAAAGATGATAAAATTATTGAAGCGTGTTTAACCAACAGGGCTGCTGTTAACCTGGAATTAGGTATTCTATAGGTTTACTGGTTCCCTTTTTTTTTTTAAAAAAAAAACACAACCGATCGATATCAACTAATTAATTAGTTTTTCGGTGAAGGATAGAAAATTATAGAAAAGTTTTAGCAGATTGTTCAAAAGCATTAAAGTTAAATCCACAAAATATCAAGGCGTATTATCGTTCTGCAAAAGCATTATATGCTCTTGATAAAATCGAAGAAGCTATCGATTGTTGTGAACATGGACTTGCGGTAAACATATAATCAATAAAAATTTATTATTACTATTCCTCAACTAATTAAACTAATTAGCTATGTCAAATAGGTACAGCCGAATAATAAAGTATTACAAAATGAAAAAGTAAAGTGTTTAAATAGAAAAGAAATTTTGGAAAAAAAACGCCGAGAAAAAGAAGAACGCGAACGAAAGGAGCGTGAATCGAAAGAAGAATTAGCAAGAGCTATAGAGGTAATCTGAGTTTTTTTTTTTCCTTTACGAATCAAGCCACTTTGCATTTTTTTTTTTAATACTACGATAAATTTACAATAGGGAAGAAATATAAAAATGGTTAATACTTCAAAAACGCAAGCATTACAAAAGAACGTTCGATTAGATAAAGAAACAAATAATTTAATTTGGCCAGTAGTCTTTTCATATCCAGAATATAAAGAATCTGATTTTATCGAATCATTTAATGAAGTGGAAACATTTTTAGATCATCTTAAAGTAATGTTTGAGCAACATGCCTCATGGGACAATGAAAAAAAATACACCCCCTATAATATTGCTATTTATTTCGAATATCATTTACCCATAATCGGTAATGGTTTGCCGACGACCAAATTATTTAAGATTGGAAAGAAATGTACCCTCAAAGCAACTTTATCTCATCCTAAATATGTTGTTAAAGATGGAATTCCAAATTTTATTATTTTGTCAGAAAAAGGGAAATTTGCAGAAGAATTTGTGGCCAAATATAAGTAATGTATAATTCTTCTTGCTTTTTGAATCACTCATCATCATCAATCATTGTCATCATCTATTTTTTAAAAACATTTTAGGATGTAAATATTAATATTAAACACCGAAATATTCAAACATTACTTACCATATAATTCACGTATGAATTATGTACATCAACGGGTCTAAATTTGAGATTCATTAATCCGTTTCTATAGATCATCACTTCTATATTACTTTTCTTATCGACCGGCAATGATAACAGGGGTTGTATACAATTGTGTGAATATCTATTACAAATAAAAAAATTATGTTAGATGATTCCTGTATATCCTTTTTTTTTTAAAAAAAAAAAATTTTACATACGTGAACTGAAAGTCTTCTTCGATTCTACATTGAAAACATGCTTCAGCTCTAACGTCATTCTAATTAATCATTCGCTTTTGAGAAAATTCAATTGGATATAAAAAATTTCAATTTACTAGAAAAGAACCGAATTTACCTCAACGAATCGAGATTCGTTGCGACTTATGAATTTCAATGCAATAATGTCATGTTTGAATCCATGTAATTCAAACTTAGATCCGGTTTTTATGCAATCTTTAAGAATCATCTTCAAGTCGCTGCATAACATCTCAAAAAACATGACTCGATCGTTTGGTTCAGGAATATCGCCTATAGGATTTTGTAACAAAGGAACTATTTCAATGGAATTTGAACTCGTATCATCAAATAATTCGACATTTAATGTCGATCCCTCTTTCTCATATTCAATCGTTGCTTCGTAACTTTTATAATTGAAATTATCATTATCCTCATTTTCATCCTCATTCTCTTCTCTTTGTTGTCGACCTTGTTCTGATTCATAAAATGAACCTTGTAAAGGAACAAATTCTTCTATATCTCCCTGTGAAGAGAAATTATCTTGGGCAATCCCTAACACCCAATACAGATCTTTTAATGCAACAACGATTACGATCGGTTCTGTTCCATTAAATATATACGAATGGAAGAATTCACGTGGAACGAACGATACAGCTAAGACAAAAAAAAAGGTAATGCATATTAAAATATAGAAAAAAAAAAAAATAAATAAAAAATAAAAAATTTACCTTGGAACTGTCCTAATGCGCCGGCTTTCACAGATATACCATCGGGACTTATAGATAAGTAACCCAAGTCCTAAAAAAAAAAAATTTAATTAATTAAATAAACCAATCGTATAAAAAAAAAAAAAAAGGTATAAAAAAATAAATTAGTTCTTTACCTTATTTTTCAAGCTAACGCCCTTGATGATTTCATAAAATCGCTTAGGATTTTTGGTGCGAGCTTTAAACAAAGGTGATGTTTGCTCCGATGACTTGATATAAGTATAATTTGGATTAACTACTATAATAAAAACGTGAAGAACAAAAATTATATTTATTTACCGTTGTTTGTGACATTGTTTCTTTTCTTTTCTTTACTTTTTTCAGACGTAAGAATGTGTGAAAGAAGGCTACGTGATATATGAAAATCTAAACTCTATTAAACTAACGTTGATCATCCGCGGAATAGGGTGAAACTATGATATGAAGATATGATGGATATTCCACATAATTATTAACCATTACTTTTTTTCAAGGACATATATTATATTGTTTACCTATTTGAAATGATCATCCCATTTTAGATAAATGACAATCCATATCTTCGAACAATATATATAAACTTGGAAAAGGACAAAAGCCTCACAATCCGAATTTTCATATTTTGTATACCATTCCTGGCTCTCGATGCAGTCACTTACTATTAATTATGTGTGTTTTTTTACTTCATTCACCTGTAAGTACCCCCTTGCCCTTTTCATATGGGGAAGATTTACGTAAAACTAGGCCATTTCTGACCTTTTATTGTTCACAAGATCCCAATCCTAATAAGATTATTAAGATTTCATTCTTATTGTTTGCTTGAATAATCTTTTTTTTTTTTGTTTGAAAAAAAAAAATTTGATAGGTACACTTATTGTTTTGTTTAGATAAATTAATTCCCTAATTTATTAACAAAAGCCCAAAAATTCTCTGATAAAAGGATCTTTTTTTCTCTCAAACAAAAAAAAAAAAATTTTTTTTTACTTTTCAATCATTCATCTTAAAAAAAATGTCACCAAACACTAAACAGCTAGAAGGTATTCATGATTTTCGTTTCGGGACCACCAAGAGCGATGAAGAGATCGTTTCAAATTATGATTTTACTTTAGATATCGAAACACTTTTAATAAACCCAATGACGAGGGAAAGAGCAAAAAATTATAAGAAGACAGGATTTATTAGACCACCACGTCCTCAAAATAGTTTTATTTTATATCGTAGAAACAAGACAGCGGAGCTTGACCTTGTCGGACTAAAATCTGCCGAGAAATCAAAGATTATTAGCGAATTGTGGAAAGGTGAACCAGAAAATGTTAAAGAAGTGTTTTCTGCACTTTCTAGGATGGCTGAAGTAAAATACATTGAACGATATGGAAAAGTTAAATACCAACCGAACCGCAAAAGCAAACAAAAAAAAGTCACAAAACCAGTCGAGTCAAATTTAGCTTGTCGAATCAAATTTATTTTGAATTGAAGATTGATAATTATTAATAGAAAGTGACGGACTAAATTTTAAATTGTAGATAGTGTCATTATAAAACATTTTCTTTTCGTTCTTCACACATTTCACTTTAAAATCATCAAATATTTTTTAGTATCAGGATTCATTACGTTAATGGTAATCGTAATAATTATATATATATAATTTTTCTTTTTCTTTTTACATTGCAAGTTTAAGACATTTCGGGACGGCAAGCTTTTAAATCAGACTTTCTCCGGATTGAGTCCTGGAAACTCTTTTATTTTGGACCTATAGAATATTCTTTATTCCTCCTTCCCAAGATATTTTAAACCAAACCTTCATTCTAATTTACCTAATCAAAATTTCAAGGCCAGCTGATTTGTAATATGGGTGCTTTACAGTAGCAAGGGAAGAAACTCTAAAAAAAATTTTTTTTTACAAAACATTAGCATGTAAAGTAAATATATTTTTTTTTTTTATAGTTTCCTCCCTTCTTACTGTAAAGCACCTATATATATAATAATATTTTCAAGAATAAATAAACCTTGTACAGATGTTATTTGTTTACAGAAATATATAAAAATTTCAATATACGCTATTTAAACTAATTGATTAAAAATGCCGTGTTGTATTGAAACAGAAAAAAAAAAAACGTCGCTGATTCCAAATTTTTTCTTTGGATTGTTGTTTATCATCACAACGAAACAAATAACCATAATTATGTTTTAATTTTGACAGGAATTACACCCGTTCACTGTTATCGTAATTATCTACCAATTAGCGAGAAATATATTTCAAGCTTTAAGAATTGGAATTAGATGAATTTATGTTTAAATCTTTAATTTTATAATCAATGAACATATTGAAAGAGCAAATTTATTTTAATAATATGAAAATTCAGTATTGCTTTATTAACAAATAACAAAACAAAATAAAATATAACATTTTAATATTTAAACCTTAAATAAATAAAAGAAAGAAAATCAAAAAAAAAAAGAGATTTCTGTGTAGAAGTACAATTATTTCAAACTTTAAAGATCAGAAATTTTCAACAGTTATTTAATCAAGTATCTTCATATATTGCCACAAATGTCATCGTTAAAGGAAAGGATAAAAAATGTGACAATTTATGAGAATACTTGATTAAATAATTTTTGAAAATTCTCTATAATCTTTAAAATTTAAATAATTATCTATAAAATAAATTGAAATGTAAAAATTGTTAGAAGGAAATTCTTGACGAGATAAAGAAAAATTGGCCTTCTTTGTTAGATAAAGTACCTTTGAGATGTTCATGGTGAGTTGTTCTTATATCTGATAGATCATGATATAAGTTATCGTTATCAATTTGTTCTGTAACGGGCGTTGTATCCTTTGATTCAATCGTATTCAACGATGAGAAAAAATTCATTTCACCTTTAAAATCGTCGTTATAAAAACCTGTTGATGTTTCCGGAGAGGAAGCAGCCGAGAACAATTCAAAATCAAAATTATAATTAAAATCTTGAAAAATGCCATTATCAACCTCCATAGAAGTTGAGTCCGGGAACAATTCAAAATCTGTCATATGTTGAGCATTGTTACTATAAAGCTTCGGTGGTGGGAAGGAAGAAGCTGGTTCTTGAAGATTATTATCAAAAACCGACGGTGAAAAATTTGATTCGATTAATCTAATTTCTTTTTTTTGTTGCCTCGGTTGAGATTGATTTATTCCACATTTTTTGATATGAAATGCTTTATTCATTCTATAAAGTGCATCGAATATTTCCTTAATATTTCGAGGCTCGTTTTTCCACATTTTGCTAATTATCTTTGATTTCTCATCCGAATTTAGTTTTAGTCCGGCAAGAGCAAGTTGTGCTTCTTTGTTAATAATATATAGACTAAAACTTTTTTGAGGACGTAGTGGCTTATTATATCCTGTTTTCTTATAATATTTTACTCTTTTTTTCGGTATTGGGCTTATTAAAAGCGTTTCAATATCTAAAGTAAAATTATAATTTGAACCATATACGATCTCTTCATCGCTTTTAGGTTGTTTACGAACATATTCTTGCTTTTGAGTCATTTTAAGATAAAACTTTCTTACTAAATAAAAAAAATTTTTTTATAAACGAAGAAATTTTATGCGTTAGGGCTTGGTATCGAGATGAAAAAAGCAAAATAATTGCAAGAAAAAATTTTTTTTTTTTGTCTTTCAAATTATAATGTACACAGTTATAATTTTTTTTTTTGGTTTTCCGAGCGTAAATTGAAAAACTGCGTCTTCCGTTGATTGTGCGCAGTAATGTTTTTTTTCCTTCATTTGGAATGGACTAACCAATATATGACGAAAATTTTTAGATTAACATGTGTTTATACACAATATATGCGCATGATACCTGGTGCTACATATATTTTTTTTTTTGTATAACTGGATCGAGACAATATCTGAAAAAATTTGCGTACACGATTAAATAGTTCAGTTTTTATACTGCAAATGAAAATTTGGATCTAAAATGCTAATTGAAAGTAAAAGAAAAAATTCACACACGTAACAAAAAAAATTTCATGCGAACACTGATCGTGACAGTTTTTCATAACCTTAAGGTGTGAAGATTCTTCATGTTAAACTTGACATCGCAATGATCCTGCATATAACATCCGCACTGCAAGTATATTTTTTCTGACTTTATAGATGTACAACGTCAAAGCTTACATATTTACCATCGTGATATATTTAGCACATTTGAAAATTATTTCTTTATTTGTTAGCCATTCCAAATTTCAAAAAAAAAAATCGTCGTCTGAATACAATTAAGAGCTAATCGTGAGAGGACTAAAAAAATTGATACATTCGAGCATACAATAGAACCCTCTCAAATAAACAGTTATGAAAAATATTTCTTGAGAGTAGCTCTAGTACTTTCAAGTCAGATTTCGCCATTAAACTAGTAATACTTTCTGTTTCATTCGTCATGATCTGATCGAGACGTTCTATCATATATGACACGGATTCATTCTTGAAGTTGACATCTTCTATATCTGGAAGTTCCCATGCATGATAAACCTTTTTATGTGCCCCAGAGACGACGACATTATATCCATTATTGTTTGCAAATTGGATATACAATTCACATAAGTAACAACATTTTCGAATATTGCTAAAAGCAATGTTGGCAAATGACCTTGAAATGACCTTAAATGACCTCAAATGACATCATTTTTATTAGAAATTTCAATTCAAAATGACCAAAGGTCATTTAGAAAATAGTAAATGACCTTATAATTTTCCATCACTGGCTAAAAGTGCCCTCTTTTTATAGTTCCAGTTTAAGATGTCAATATGTTCATTTCTGCGTGTAAATACACGCGTTGTTCAATATCTTTGAAATCCAATTGTATTACAGTCCCTTCGTCGACACCGTATATATATTTTAATCTGCTTTCTTTGACGTAATCCTTCAACATGCTTCTTTGAAATCTTCATAGTTTTTGGATCAGGAATGAACTGTTTGATAATAGTTTCTCATGAAAATATGTATTTCTGATCTGTACTGGGATCCAACTTAACCAATTTCAAATTAAAAAATAGGTTTTTGTACTGTTTTTTACATGCGCATTTGACAATATCTATTAAAGACCCATCTTAGCAGAACAGTACTTCAATATATCATCGCGTAAGCTTGCACGACTTTATTTTCGTGGCGTCTATGGTACAATTAGGGTTTGAGTTCAATTCTCGGGGTGATTTTGACAGTCTGGGCGTCTCAACTGTGTCGGACGGCTATTCCGAATTAGGTTGTTAAAGACTCCTCTTTCCAGTAATTGGCCAGAGTCCATCGTACCATGATAGCATTGGGGGCATTTTTCAATGGAATAGGATTGTTTGATATTTCTTTCAGGTAATTTCTATTTTTTCGATATACTTATTATCTTTATCAAGCCAGTCCCCATCCTTAGAAATAATAACTAAAATACTTTTGGGTTTAACTATCAACCTTACTGCTACCACTTCTTTGTCTCTTGTCAAAGTTGTCACTTGGTTTTTCAACATATCTAATACTCCTAGCATAATGTATATGGGATTAGCGAATATGATTGATTATATCTTTTT